CTGACAGAGAGGCTCTCGATTCAGTGGTTGAACCCTCCCTGGTCACAAAGTTTGAATCATGAACTAAAGAACAAGATTCCAGATATAGATGTCATCCAGAAGGGTGCTTAGAATAGACCGACCACTCTGCGGCATCGAAGGAGGTATGTCCTTTTTGAGGTATAACTTTTTGAGGGATACCTTTTTGGGAGGAGATCCCAGGGATGAAAGCACTCGTTGGAAGGATTCCCCAAAAGGATCTGAGAATTGCAGACAGTGAGGGCGACGTTTGACCTGCCGTCTTCACAACCTGGTCTTAGAAAAGAGGTTGACAATAAACAAATGGGCCTCTACCTCAAAGCTAAATACCGGATGCAAGACGCGAGTAATCACTGAAACATTACAGACATTTGCTGGGGCCTTAATTTTGTCTCCATCTCATCTCTTCTCAAAACAACCAAATCTGTATTAGCTCTTCCACAGCTGCCACTTATTCCCCAAAGACAACATTGCCATCAAAACAGCATCTTTATTAATTCAATTCCAAATCTTCCATTCATTTTTAATGAAACTCATTCTCCCTACACCATTTCTGTATTCAGCTAAGCTAAATGTCAAAATCTGTTGAAAACGTTCATCTTCTCTCGGTATACAGGATGTGTATCCTGAGGTCACTGAAGGGGATAAAATACTTCCAGTTGCTTGTGATTCTGATGATTCTAAACTATACCTATAAACGTACGAGAAGTAAATTAATTTGGTTTTCCTGGAAAAGTAAGAAAACGTGGCTTTCGTAGATTAAACAGTTTCCTTTTAGATAACTAGTTTCGTAGATATAAAGATTAAAATCAAACATGTTTAAAAAAAGAACAATTTAAGGTCGTTGGAGAGAGAAGCAACCAGCTAATACTTGCCCCAAAAAAACCTTTACATTGCTTCTCCTAAAAAAAGACCAGTTGCTGGTGGAAATGAAATCGACTGACACTTGATTAAAGAAATAAATGCAGTGTTTTCATAAACTTAAAGAAATGAGACAACTTCTGTTGGGACTTGGTTTTAGCTCCTTCATGGCCTTCAGTATGAAAAGAAAACTCTACCATGCATTCATTGTACGGGAACATACAATGATAACATATAACACATTATTAATTTATTAATTTATTTATTTTATGGACAGAAAAAAATCCCCCGTTTTGGATACTCAAAAGGATTTTGACGCACAGTAGTCCCTCGTTTATCGCGGGATATCCGTACCCAGAATCCCCGCGATAAGTGAAAAACCACGAAGTAGGAATAGTAGAAGTAGTAAGTAGTATATACACACATACACTACATTGCCAAAAGTATTCACTCACCTGCCTTGACTCACATATGAGCTTAAGTGACATCCCAATCCTAATCCATAGGGTTGAATATGACGTTGGTCCACCCTTTGCAGCTAGAACAGCGTCAACTCTTCTGGGAAGTTTGTCCACAACGTTTAGGAGTGCGTTTAAGGGGATTTTTGACCGTTCTTCCAGAAGCACATTTGCCTTGGCAGGGTGCTCATGTCTTTGAATATTTTTGAAGACCAGGGGGAGAGACACCGACAGACGTACAGTACGTCAAGTTCAAGGTTTCTTTATTGTCATTCGCATCTCATGTGGGTCATATGGTGGAACGAAATAGTGCACACAGGGTCCCAATTGCATCCAACAAAAGTATAAATTGTAAAAGAAAAACGGTCATAAGATCCAAGATATGAGCTAAGAAATACACCAAACTAAGAATACACCAACACAATGAACAGCAGCACGAACATGAGCCTGTGTGAGTAGATGAGTACGAATGAACACAGCAGCACGACACAGATCAGCAGCACATAACAAGTGATTATAATCATAATAACATGATCATGTAATCAGTGATTATTCTGGTTTTGTGTCTTGAATTTTTTATGTTGCCAAGCAACGCCTTCAGCCCAACATCTGGTCATCTTCTGAGTTCGGAGCTAAAGTCTTTTCCTTATGTGCACTCAGCTAACATTTGAAAAGACTGTAAGGATGATGAACGAGAGAGAGAAAAGTAAACATCTCATTTGGCTGTTTGGATGGTATTTGAACAGACTTGTGCAGAACAAAAAATTCAAAGGATCCATTCAGCGGGGCGCACTTCAGTCGAGGCCGAGCTATCAGCCGAAGCAGCCACAAATCAAGACCTCAGCTTTTCATGATTTACTGCATCTGATCAAGCTCCCCCGTAATGAAATACAAACAGATCCACATCCTGGTCTTTTTCCAAAGCAATCAAACTTGTTTTTCCTGAAATTTCCACATCGACGTAAATAAAAGACGGAGAGAGGAAAAGAAGGTAACTCGACCCCAGAGACTCAAACCGCCGTCCACTCTAATGGCAACAAACTGCTCCCTTCTCTGTGGCTTCAATGCAGCCGATCTAAAAGAAAACCGAAGAACTTACATTTCCTGTGAGAATGCAGTGCATTGCAGAACTTGCTGATAAACAGCTGAAATTAGCTTAAAAAAAAGGCATGCTGAAATGTAACGGAAATGGAAGAACAAGCCAAAATTAGCAGAAAGAAGCAGAAAGAACACGTATTTGCCCAATTAGGCTGAAAGATGAAGACACGGGCACAAAAAAGTAGAAATTATCTGAAATTAGCACCAAAAAAAAAACCAGCTAAAAAGTAGAAAGAAGCTTAAATTACCAGAAGGAAGTGAAGAGAGCACATTTCTGCTGAATTACGCTGAAACAAGTTGAAACGAGTGCAAAAAAATGTGGAATTAGCTGAAGTAGCTAAAATTAGCATAAACAACTAAATAGCAGCTGACATAAGTTAAACGAGCATAAATAAGCTGAAAGGAGCATAATAAGCTGAAATTACAATAAAGACGTTAATTAAGCTGCAAGTAGCAGAAATTACCAGAAAAATTTTGAATTTATCTAAAAAGAGTTGAAATTAGCTAAAAAAAAAAAAA